TTGGTTGAGGAAAAAGAATTTTTCAAAACGTTTTCAGTATATTACGAGATCGGTGGAGAATGCCGGCTTCGCGGTGGAATACGATAGTTTCGTTGAGTTTACACCACATGGCAATAAACAATTCAAGAATATCATCGCGACATTCGATCCGAGTGCACCGAGACGATTCGTTTTAGCGTGTCATTATGAGTCGAAGATATTCCCGGGGTTAGCAGTTCATCGATAATTCTCGATATTATTCAGTAATCACTCGATAGTGATTTGATTAATCGATAACAGTACTGGTAAATATTGTTCTTTTCTTTTCTGATGCCACAAAGTTTGTGATTATGTATAAATTGAGGAATCGGAGAGAGCATTTTGTAAGAAATGCGATTTTTTCATTCGAGTGAACCATTGTGTTTTTTTGTGAATTCAGTGCGAATTTCATTGGTGCAACCGATTCGGCCGTACCGTGTGCGATGTTGTTGGATATTGCAAGAACGTTGGGACCTTATCTGAGCAATCGTCGCAATAAGGTGAATTGCCCTTTGGAATATTTGCGATCGTTCACTGCAATTTGAAGGTGCTTAATCGAAAGTTCAAAAGACTGCTGATGAAGTGTGCTTTTCTTTAGGGATGATTCTAAGTTTTCAGTTGAGATGATTGAATAGTTGCTTGTGATATTGCAGGATGTGACTTTGCAATTGCTGTTCCTGGACGGCGAAGAAGCGTTTAGTGAATGGACAGCCACTGATTCGCTTTACGGAGCGAGGCATTTGTCAAGGAAGTGGCATGAAATGCCATTTACTAATCCGATTGATCCAAGGTCCACGATGAAATCTGAACTGGATCGAATCGTTAGTTATTTTTAATTGTTGTTATATCTCTCTTGCTCATTGTCAGTGAAATTATCAGTGAATTCAAATGATAACAAAACAACAATTTAAGCACTGAATTTTTATAGTTTGATGAATTCAATGAAACATTTTGGTGAATTGTTTTGCTAATGAAAACCGCAAATTATTTGAATATTTCAGAATTCTGCAAAATTTTCGAAGGTGTTTTGCACGGACGAGTGTTTCAGATGAATTGAACTTTCAGGATGTTTTTGTACTACTTGATCTCCTTGGCACACCAAATCCACAAATTCGAAACTATAATCAATTGTTGGCCGAACAGCTCTTCGAATATCTGCCTTCAATTGGTAAGATATCACTTTATCGTTTAGCTCGTCCGGGTCTAACAGTTTTCTCATTCTTTTTCGAGCTGTTGTAATCGCTCTCATAGCTTTCATCATCAAAACTGTTCTCTTCTGCTAATTTCTCATTCATTTTACTCAACAGTTAAAATCAAATTCTCATTCCATCATATACACTCTATAATTGATCATTTGATTGTCGATTGTTATTGAGCAATAATATTCAATTGTTGTATTGTTGACTTCGGTTGTCAACACTCGTCAACGCATCCAGTAAATAGTATATGTCACAGAATAAGAATTTGATTGTAACTGTTAAGCGAAATGAGACGAAGAGAATGATAAAAAGTCATGAAGAGAACGGTATTCTCATGCAATAGCTATGAGAGTGAATACAA